TTTCTAATGTACTCCTATGTAAACTTTGCTATTTCGTTTTATATCTATAAACTAAGACAGTATTCATGAGGACTGACGGTTTTAAATTTTACATGAGCGAGCGCTTCTCTGCATAAGCCCGACATTTTCACACTTACTTTTCAAGCTATTTATTATATTTCGTTGGTAATATCTCAGGCTATTAAATAACCCGCTTTAATTTATACTTAACTTGAACACCTTAAGAAATATTTATATTTAGCTTAGTATATGTTGTAATATTTATTGTTATTAATGAAACACAGGGATTACATTTCCGAGCAATGAAAAGCTTCGATTCGAACACTACGTGAAAAGAGTGGCGGAGAGTTTATTGCCAGTTCTTCTCTTCCGTTCTACGCCCTTGATCTGAGAACTGGCAGTAAATGTAAAATTAGAAGCATTTAATGTATATTTCTTTTTTGACGTTCATAAGTGTACATTGTGTTACCTATATGAATAAATGATTTTTGACTTTTGACGCAACCTACCTACTCTATTGTATCCCGTCGAGATTTTTTATAAAGAAAATAAGATTTTTCGTTCTTGTATAGACTAACCGATTTATATCATACATAAAAATATCAACGATTCTTTTTGTATGGATATAACACACCAACCGTGGGCGGATTCAGGGGCATGTCTTGGGGTTCATGACCTGACCTGACTCTGTATAATTAAGTCTAAATCGGTTACTTTACATATTAGTATTTATTATTCTAATTGTAATAACTTATTTTCCCTTACAAAAACGGTATTAAAGACCAAGATATTATAAATAAATGGTCAAAATTGGTTATGTAGATCAAGAGAATCTGTATTTTATAATATAATATTATAAAATGGGATTATTAATTTATGGGATGCAACCAATATGGAACCAACAAATGAGCTGTTGCGGCTTATGATGTGGCTGAAAAATCTAAAGCCTGCAAATACAGGGGTCTAGTCTCCGAATATTATTTTGTCCCATTCGGTGTCGAGACCCTTGGTCCGTGGGGTCCTAGCGCTATAAGGCTTTTTAAGGAAATATCAAAAAGGTTAGTCACAGGAGATTGAAGAGCTGGCAGCTACCTCGGACAAAGATTGAGTCTAGCTATTCAAAGGGGGAACGCTGCCAGTATCTTCGGAACCTTGCCTAAAGGAGTCCCTCCTTTTAATCATATATTTTAGTTATATTTTAAGGTTAGTTATTGTTTTTATTGTTCTTTTTTATATTATTATGATTTTAAAATGTAATATGACTTAATTCATTACAATACTATTTAATCAATGTAAGCGTTATTAAAATTCAATAATATTGTTTGTAATTAAAACGTATCGCAAATTAAAGGCGCAAAACAGCTTGATTGACATAATATTATTATTTTTTGTTGCGCGCAGAAGGCTCACCTAACGTTAAGTGATACAGCGGGAAATGGACATATACATTAACAAAAGGTGTAAATGCGCTACAAGAATGCTGTTTTCTTGAAGAACGCTAGGTTCAATAGGTTCGATAATACCTTGATGGTTTTACATAGTCGTGGCAGTCATTAACACACAGAGGTTAAATTTTGTATTGTGCCTTGATAATGAAACTCAGCGGCAAAAAGACATAAAAAAAAATAAAAAAAATAGTGGCGCTACAACCTTTTAAGGTCTGGGCCTCAAATTTCTGTATCTGTTTCGTGATCATTTGTTAGTCTAATAGGCAAGAAGGTGATCAGGCTTCAGTTCCTGACACACGCCGTCGACTTTTTGGGTCTAAGACATGTCGGTGAAGGAAAACATCGTGTTTCCTTTACCGTTCGGGCAAATGTTAAATGCGTACATAGAAAAAAAGTCCATTGGTGCACAGCCGGGGCTCGAACCTACGACCTCAGGTATGAGAGTCGCACGACATAAACTGAATAAAAAGTATTCATTTGGAAGCATTTCAAGTAAGGTCACGCATACAGGTAAATGTGGTTGCATCGCTTTTCATTTCTAAGGTCAAGTGGTTCTACACTCTGTGGTCCGTGACATGGTTCTACAAGCTAATCTTTGCTTTGAAAGCCGTTAGTTATTTCAAAGAAATCCTATGTTAGCCTAGTTAAGCGATTCTCAACATAAAGGTTGTGCGTTCGAATCGCAGTTGTGAACCAGTGGATATATGCAAAGATTATATCTTTGTTTTTTCAATTGCTCTTAAAATAAAGGTGAATATCGTGAGGAAACAGAAATGTACGACGTGTTTGGGTTACACAGCGTGGGACAATATATTTCATAGATCAATGAAACGGAATTTAATTCATTATTGTTATTATGTAAGCACTGGGATTCCATTTCCAACCAATGAGAATCTTCGAGCGTTGCAGGTACTTAAAACTACTTAACCAGACTAGAATGATTTCCGTCCCATAAAAAGGTTTAAACAAGCATTTAAAAGTATAAAAAGAAGTTTATCTCTTTGTTCTTGTACCAACGATTCTTTTAAATGGAAATAACTCAGTAACCATGGGCGGATCCAGGGGCAAGTCATGGGGGTCATGACCTGACCTGACTCTGAATAAATACATTCGAAATCGGTTACTTTACCTATAACAAACATATTGTATATTTATTTATGTATTAATTATTCTTAAGCAGTGTTGGCCTAGTGGCTTCAGCGTGCGACTCTCATCTCTGAGGTCGAATCTTCGATCCCCAGCTGTGGCAATGGACTTTCTTTCTATGTGCGCATTTGAAATTCGCTCGAACGGTGAAGGAAAACATCGCGAGGAAACCACGTTGCCTTAGACCCAATAAGTCGACGGCGTGTGTCGGGCACAGGAGGCGGAACACCTACTTGCCTATTAGATTGACAAATGATCATGAAACAGACACAAAAATCAATGGCCCAGACGTAAAGAGGTTGTAGCGCCACACATTTATCAATTATCCTATATTTACAGTTTTAACTATTTTTTGGTATTATATGTAGCTTTTTACGGCCATCTTAGATGAATTAACGAAAGTAACTACCGAAGCAAATGGATACTCGCAGTATCCACAGGTCAAACACTACCTGTGTTAGAACAAACTGTGTGATAATTTCCAGCCATTGAATAATTGGAAAATGATTTTTTAATAATACTTGTCAGACCACGTTTGAGATACAACGACGTTACTCTGGCATAGGTCAATAAAACATAGCTCAAGCGATTTTGAAGCCCCATCCATTACATGTTAAGCTCTTTATGTAACAATCTTGAGCTTAAGGAAGCTTTACGATTCAATAAAACTTGGAAAAATGTATGTAAGAGAATTTTAAGAGGGATTTACAAAGTTATAGGCCCCGCCAAACAGCGTAAGGCCCGCTTATCGAACGTGTTATCTTAAATTATAGTTATTAAACAGTTATGGATCCCATTAAAGACATTGATAGGTTATATTTAGTTCTTTAGGTATTGAAGTTACATGCGTTATCCCACCATGCCACAATCTCGTGCTGTTTTAATGCCGTAAAAAAATAAGCAATTAGAGCCGTGTTGGCCTAGTGGCTTCAGCATGCGACTCTCATCCCTGAGGTCGATGGTTCGATCCCCGGCTGTGCACCAATGGACTTTCTTTCTATGTGCGCATTTAACATTTGCTCGAACGGTGAAGGAAACCATCGTGAGGAAACCGACATGCCTTAGACCCAAAAAGTCGACGGCGTGTGTTAGGCACTGGAGACTGATTACCTACTTGCCTATTAGATTTAAAAATGATCATGAAACAGATTCAGAAATCTGAGGTCAAGACCTAAAGAGGTTGTAGCGCCACTGATTTATTTATTTAAAAAAAATAAGCAAACCATGATTTCCTCTTCTCTTTGATCAAGTATTTAAAGCAAGTCTTAGATATGGTTATAGGTAAGTCAGTGTAAGTATTAAACTGGTGCCCATGGTACAAAAAACGCAAAACAGATAGACAATTTAGAAGATGGATAGACGAGATTGAGGAAACAGCAGGTGGTACATGGCAGAGAGTGGCACAGTGCAGACAGAAATGGTGGGAGGCCTTTGCCAAAAAAGGGCTCACAAAAATCTAGAAAGAATGAGATGTTGAAATTTTGAAATGTGAATCATTTAAAACAAGAGGTTTTTTATTATATTGTATGTAACCGATAAAAATTGTATATTTTTATACAATTTTTGTATATTTCTATACAATTTTTGCGTTTAATTTTATAATGACTACATGATTTTATATACTTAAAGCAAAAACTATATTATAAGAAAAAATGTTTACTGTTTTTACATTCCATTTTCATTTATCTATAATGCTTAAAAAGGCATCAATATTAATAAGGCTTCCAAGAGCCTCATTCGTAACAAATCCGTCCCTGTGTGTCTGACAAGGAACAATTGATTAGTTTCCACGGTACACGCGTGAATCGGGGTCGAGTTGTTCACGTAATAAGAATCTTCGTCTACACGTTTCCTGGATGTCGATTGATATAATCGTCTCCATAGTATTTAATTACCGACAATAAGCATTTCTAGTTACGACAATTTCTAGCCTAATGCCCATCTTGTATTAAGTACACCGGAATACGAAGTAGAAATTAGAAAATATATATGTGTCGCAGCCAACTACCTTAATTAGCCATTCAATCAACAGCCTAGCCTCTTAACTTGCGGCGGGATAGAAATTAAACAGCTGCGCAAATGACTTGGATCGATGTCGTTTTATTACTTGTCTAGCCTGTTGACTGTTAATTTCAATTAAGTTCCACTTTCTGCCACTCTCAAACTCGAAACAGAACTCTTCAGACATATATATTACATAGTGCATAGTGATTGACCACCTCCGTGACGTTGTATTGGAGAGTATAGTAACCTTATCCTGGGTTCCAGAAATAAAATAATTGCTTCAGGTCGATATAACAGGCGTAGTAATGCCCGCAAGCTTTGGGAGGTTACGGAATCTTATATATTGTATCCACAGCTCATAAAGTGTAGTGTATTGTATGAACTATTTTCTACCCTACATACCTGGCTTAATACAGGACATGCCACAGGCACCGTCACACAAACACTTCTTCTTCTTGCTTTTACAGTCTTCATCTGATGAGCATTTGCGAAGACATTTCTGCCCCTAAAAGGATATTTTATTATTAAATTAAAAGAATACTGAGTTAACAATAAACGGTTTGTTTGCTTGTTATCTAGTAACAATTATAAATAATAAGATATAATGAACTGGGTTTAAGGGTCCCAAGCGAGACTCTGAGGTCACAACTATAGGACGTGCGCGCACACTCCAACTTGGTTACGAACCCCGGCTCACGCGAGCGAAACACGTAATTAATGAGATTTCTCTTTCTCGAAGTAGACCTATTTGTTTGTACTCTGGCTGAGTTCACAAGAGATTATTTATATAAGATTATTTTATTAATTATATTTTTATTGTAGAATTATCGGTGTAGGTATTATCGTGTAGTTCTATCATATTAGTAGTACTGTAAAGATGTGTGTGGGAAATAATTCGACTCTTTCTGTCAAATTGCGTTTACGCCACAATGAAAAGAGCTATGACTATGACGACTCATTGGTCTAGTGGTTAGTACCCCTAACTGTGAATCCATGGGTCCCGGGTTCGATCCCCGGCTGAGACGAACATCGATGTGATGAGCATTTGGTGTTGTGCTTAGGTCTAATGTCTAAGGTTTAAATATGTATTTATATGTCTATCTATCTATATTATGTATGTATATCCGTTGCCTAGTACCGATAACACAAGCTTCACCAGCTTAGCATGGGACTAGGTCAATTGGTGTGAATTGTCTTAAAAAAAAGCTAACAATGCTTTTGACTGATTATTTGTTAATGAATAAGTGTTAGTAGGAATCTAGTTCCGAAGACTTACTTATTACTTCGCTTATAAAGAAATATAGAACATACAAAAATAAGAACATCAATATTTTAAAAGCATTTTAAATAAAAGGAAACAAAACTGTTTTATTTTGCGACCATCAAAGGCATGCGCTGATATTTGTCGAGTGATGCCACTGGGAATAAAGGTTTTTTAAAATAAAATCTAACCGCATTCTGGTAGCTAAGTTAGATTAAATATTTCATAGAAGATACAGCCTACCACCAGTACTCTCGAACATCCATCCAGTGATTTTTAAAATTGGCATTTTGTACCTGGGAGCGTTCAAGTATTACGTCACGCAATTTTTTGAGATTATTGACACCCCCATGTAACGCGCCGTTACGTTTTTCTGTACCCAAGTATAGAAAAACGTTTCGTGACCACCTACTGACTCTTATTCCTAAATATTACCATTAAGTGGTGTACCTGGAAAGTCAAAAATAATATTAACAATAACGCGTAATTCTATCACCCCGCATCGTAACGGTTTACAAAAGGACCCCCCCCCCAAATTCGTTACGTAATACTTGAACGCTCCTCCTAATGATCGCAAATTTGCGACATCAGCGCTACAGTCATAAGAACTATTATCAGGATATCTTGCACTGATAGAATTTGCGGAGTACGGGCTTTGATAAGAAATTTTAATAGATATTTTTAAAAACACAAAGTATTGAACCCTACTGATTTCCTCATAGTCTTCTTGAATGTTTATTCCAAGTTCAATAGATTTCTACGAATATATATATATATAGTATATACTATATACTCTAACTCTTAACTTACCAGCAAAGTTGCCTGCTCCTCGTCCCTAGGGCACAGAGCGGACGGCGAGTTGCGAGGGTTCTTGTATACCCTTCCGTCATCATCAGCGTCAGCACGGCTTGGGGTAGTGTCGTCCTCGTCATCATCCTCTTCTGTTGTCGGACTGGGGAGGGCGGACACTAGAAAACAATGTTTTAGTTGTAAATTTCAATGAATTATTTATTCAAGGCGCAAGTTACGAAGCGTAAGAGAAGACACGTCCACACAAACACATCTTCACGTACACATCTATACACACCATCACACAACACACCCGAATTAGGTATACTTAGTTAAATTTAATGTACTATACTTAGTTTAATCTAATATATAAAATTCTCGTGTCACAGTTTTCGTTGCCATACTCCTCCGAAACGGCTTGACCGATTCTCATGAAATTTTGTGTGCATATTAGGTATGTCTGAGAATCGGACATCTATTTTTCATCCCCCTAAATGTTAAGGGTAGTCCACCCCTAAATTATTTTTTTTATTTTTTTAGATAAATTACTTATTTTTTTATGATACAGCATTAAAAAATACATACAACCCCTAATTTTCACCCCTCTACGATCAACCCCTATTTTTTATTATAAATGATATACATGGCAAAACGACGTTTGCCGGGTCAGCTAGTTTATTTATATAGATTTCTTTTCTCTCCTAAGCTTAAATGATTCAACCCCAGTCACACATAGCACAGTAGTAATTTTTTGGACTTTTTAAGCATTGCAAGAATATATACAACTACCTTGGTTAACTTGTGACCTTGTGCAATAAAACGACAGCGTGGTTCTTAATTATTTTGTTCCACAGTTATTGTAAAAGTAAGATATATTTTAAGGGTTTAAAAACTATTTGGAGCAATTTTTTTTTTTTTTTGTATTTGTAAAGTATCCCCAGTGCTGTCATCCGCATAGCAATGAATGTTGCTAAGTTGCAACATATCATTGATATGCAAAAGAAATAGGGTCGGGGATAGAACACAGCCTTGTGGGACCCCAGCGTTCACGGGTTTAAGGTCGGAACATGCTCCGTCGATGACGACCTTGATGCTTCGATCGGCCAGAAAGCTGGAGATCCAATCGCATAATTTCTCGGCAAGCCCATAGGCTGGAAGCTTCGAGAGCAGTGCTCTGTGCCACACCCGATCGAAGGCTTTCGCTATGTCCAAACTTACCGCCAGCGCCTCCCCCTTGGACTCAATTGCCTCTGCCCACCTATGGGTAAGGTATACAATTCTGTGTAAAATTAACTGCCATACAAATAGTAACAGTGAATCAAACTTAATGAAATGACTGTCGATACTCTAATAGGGATAGAATAGATCACTTCATATCCGAAAATATCTTTTGATACTCGTTGAAATTACAATTTCTCTGTTTCGTTTGTTTTATTATACTTTCAGATTTGAAATTTAAAACAGCGAAGATGAAAATCTCGAGGCAAGGAAGACGAATAATTGGGTTATGAAAATGCCATGTATGATACAAAAACTGTATCAATCGACAACACGCAACTATTGTTACCATAAATTAGTACGATAGAAGCGGAAGCGATAGCGATTTAAGATTTTTTAAACTTCTAATAATGTAATTAATATACATGTGTTCTGTTAGCAAAACGTAGTTTATTTGTAGCAATGGGTGTGCGTTTCTATAAAAAGTAGATGCTTTTCTTTACTATCTCCCGATGTATATTTGAGATTATTTTTCGATATTAAGATACTAAGTCATATTTTGCGTATTAAGCTTCAATAACTAACCACAGTTGTTTACAGTTAGACTTTTAGGCATGGTGTATACACATTTACGCACCTGTTATTAAAGCAAGAAAGTCAACCTTAGCTTACCAAGCCCAATTAATTTAATAATAACCCAGTCATTTATTAGACAGCCTCATGTTAACCAACATAAAAAATAAGTTGAAAAGCAACTTTTACATGCATTTGTCACGTTCCTAAACAAGACTGCTATGGTTGCATTTCTACAAACCACAACGGTTTTCTAATGTAACATATTATGATTTTATTATATTAACGCCGACGAAGGTGGTACACAGTATCTAATAGCATGTGCGACATGGAGTTACATATACTATCGTATTACCCGCTCCGCTTATGAGCGTGTCCACAGCGTGTGAATAACTTTTACCCGGAAGACAGTCGAACGTCACGCTTCTCGGCTTCGATAGGAAAACTACGACGCGTATTTGTTTACGTTCATAACATTAAGATCTTATACATAATTATCATTAGAAGCTATGATGAATTTTAGAATTCCCTTGTTCCAAAAAAAAAGAAGATTTCTTCGGTTTACCAAAAAACTAAAAATGTAATTTTAAGTATACAACATATACGATATAGTTAACGATTATTTTACCTTTTAAGTAAATATTGAAATCATGGCATTCTATGACAAGCCAAATATTTTATAAAACACGACGTAAATTTTTAGGTAAAGACATGCCGGTTGCGCGCGCATCGTAAAAATTACTCTGATCATTTTTTACGATGCGCGCGCACACCGCCACAAAAAACCGACACCCTGAAGTTGGCATTTTAGTTTCTTTGAAGTTGAGGGAAAAAATTATGAGAGTAAATTTTTGAAGTTATACTTCTTTAGGCGCGTTATGAAAAATTTATGAGAGTGAAATTTTACGATGCGCGCGCACCTGTGACACAAAATTGGGAGTGTGATTATAGCGTGCGCGAGCGAGATAGGAATAAGACAATCTACAAGTAAAAAGAAATAGAATATGCGTGAAGTTCGTATGCCAAGAATTTTGAATGACCATAATGACATTTGTCATTTTCCTTTTAAACAAATAAAGGAGTTTTGATTAATTTTTCAAAGAAATTTATTAATTTTATATTGTGCAATACTGCCAAAGCTACAACATACTTCTTAGTGTTTGGTAGAGATGTTCTAAATATATAATTATATATACTTTTAACTAAATAGAATTTATGTTACACTTAATGTAAGAGAATAATAATAAATAATTATTTATTTAATTTTTCAAATGTAAACTGAACTTAATTGACTATAATGACCCCTTTTCCAGTCTTTGATTATTTAATTGTAATTAATTATTATTTGCATGCAATCAAAAACTATTTTTAATAATGCCAAAGAAGTATAACTTCTTACGCGCGTACATAAGTACACGCACCCTTTTTTTTCTATTGTTAGTGTAGTTTTTTCTACAAACGTATAATAAGGCGAAAGATAAAAATTTAGAAAAGTTTTTTTATGTTGTTACGCCAAAGAAGTATAATTTCTAACGCGTGAACAAAGTTTTTTATTATTTATTTATTTATTTATAAGTTGTAAAACAATGTGTGCGCAAAAAATTATACAAGAAAATATGACATCACAAATTTTACACACATACACATCAATTATATTAGAATACGCTAGCTGACCGGGCAAACGTCGTTTTGCCATATATATCATTTATAATAAAAAAAACAGAAAAAAATATCTAAAAATAAAAAAAATATTTAGGGGTGGACTACCCTTAACATTTAGGGGGATGAAAAATAGATGTTGTCCGATTCTCAGACATACCCAATATGCACACAAAATTTCATGAGAATCGATCGAGCCGTTTTGGAGGAGTATGGCAACGAAAACTGTGACACGAGAATTTTATATATTAGACAAGCAAGCTAGCAAGGGGAAAACTAAAACAAGCAACCACAAAACAATAACTAAACAAGTAATAATAATAACTAAAACTAAATGAAAACATAAACCTCATTAAGAGCATGATAAACAAAGTTACGGTAAGTTAGAAGACTGTTGTAAAATATATCAATATTTTCATCAATGTTAGTAACTAAGTTGTAAGAGCGAGATAGCCTATATTATCTTTTATATATCTTATTAAACGACCTAATAAGAAAGGTTCAAATAGGGTATAATACTAACAATTTTGAGTTTATTCGAACGTAAAACATGACGAGAAATGAGTACTCTTTACTAAGGAAAAATGTAAAAATGCTTCACAAAGAACTCTCGAGGTAATAAAGGCTGATTGAGGCGGCTCTCAAGTCCAACCTTGAGACAACAAGTATATAAGTTTTCTGTTTATAATTAGCTGTTGCTATATCATTTATATAGCAGTTTTGGTCTAGTGATTTGTGGCTGCCACCCGCAACAAGGAGGTCGTACTTTTGAATCACAGCTGAGCACAATTTATTTAGGTTCATAGATTTGTAAAATAGCTTTCTCTATAATCATACCAAAAACAATAGAAACCAGAGATTGCGAAGTTTCACAAGAACAATGTTACTAAATACGATTATGGTAACTTGGATTGGCCCCAAAACACTTAGTCTGACCGTCTTACAATAACCAGTCTAAGTTTTAGGACCACAAGAACTCTAGATCAATCATTCAAGCAACGCAATCGGTTGTTCCATTTGACCAAAACCAGACAGCGCCCAATCTTTCGTCTTTTTTTATAGAACATGGGACAAACGGGCAGGAGGCTCATTTCATGTGAAGTGATACCGCCCATGGACACTGACAATAGCAGAAGGCCTCATGAGAATTAGTACGCTCTTTTCTTTAGGACCCTAAGTTCATACGTTCGGAAATACATAGAGTTCCGTATTCAGCCCGAAAGCCGGGTGATGAAACTCAGCTATTAATCCGAACTTCTCCTCTGAACACTCTCTACGTAAATGCGGTAAAAGATGCAGAGATATTCTACCGCTCTACGCAAGGCGAATGGATCACACCACAATTTGAATTTGATACTCTTCGTTGAATACGGTCAAGTGGAAAGAGCTGGTACTCGGGAGCTCCGGCCCAGAGATATTAACAGGGCGTTTTTTTAACTGCCCAGCCTTGCGATTCTGTAACTCACTTTTCGAACTCACACAACGTTTTTCGCATCGGCGGTCGCTCTCAAATCAGTCGTGAAGCAGTCATTTTATGATTTGGCATTCTGATAAACAATAAACTACAAGCTCCCACCTTTTCAGAATGCCAAATCATAAAATGACTGCTTCACGACTGATTTGTGAGCGACCGCCGATGCGAAAACCGCTGTGTGAGTTCGAGAAGTGAGTTACAGAATCGCAGGGCTGGTGTTACGCGTTTATCGTCGTAGCTTGTAGCATATTACGTAGCATCTTCGCGAACCCTTTTCTACTTGTAGCACTTTTAAAGGATATTTTTACTTATAATTTTCTATAACTAAATGTTAGATTTTCTTACATACACGGCATATTTAAATCGGCATATGTCATCAAATTGTGTTTAAGGATATATACAAGAGTTACTATCAAATACAACGCAGCCAATAAAGTTCAGTGCGGTTTAATCTAGGTAACACTTCAGCTGTAAGTTGTCTAATATTGCCTCTGAGATTGAACTATCAACTTGGATATATAATTACTCTAATATCCTATATATTAATACACTCTTAGTACTGAAGGGTATTATATATTAGGAACATATCTCTGTACTATATATCGTCTGTCTACGCAGAGACTTTGCGTTTTCTATAAAGTGTACGTCTATAAGTCTACGGTGAGTATTCTGAAGAATTGTTTGGGTTGATTCTTCCTACTTCATTTCAACACCGAGCCGTATGTATTCTAAATTTCACCAACATCATCTTGATGGCTGGAAGTCTTCCACAGTCCGTTTCACAAGGCATTTTCTTTTGCGAACTAGCGAACTGTGGAATCGACTCCCAGTGGGGGTCTTCCCTGAGAGATACGACCTCCAAATGTTTAAAATTCGAGTATACTCCTCCATCAAAAGCCGGCAACGCATCCACTAAAAATGGGTGTCTATCAAATCACTTATAATGACTAAGATGTCTTACGTAGGGAAAAGATAAACTGTATGCAAAAGGTTCCATTTGTATCGGATATTTTTTTTATCCGTAGAAACACGGTTCTATCTTTAAAAACCTTTAATATCTGTGTAAGTTGGATGGAATAACCTCTAGTACTAATGAATCGGTTTTCAGATTTTCTTTGCATATACCACTTGAACATCGACCGATAACTCTTGACTCACACAACTAAGAGTACGGAGGTCGTGGCAGAATACGAAATTCCACCCGTATCACCTCGACGTCTGTCGTTCCACAACTGAGCGTTTTTTAAGGCAGTTTTCGCCGCGCACCACTACTATGTGGAACCAGCTGCCCAATGAAGTATTTCCGAACCAATTCAACTCAGGATCCTTCAAGAAAAGAGCGTACCAATTCCTAAAAGGCCGGCAACGCACTCGCGAGCGTTCTGGTATTCAGAGTGACCATGGGCCATCACTTAACATCAGGTGAGTCTCCAGCTCGTTTGTTTTTTTTAATAAAATTTTCTACGCCTAATGTGAGACAGTTAAGCACCAATGTACAACTGAATGGAGTAGAGTTGGAACCTGTTGAGTCAACTGTTTTTCTTGGCATTACTGTTGACGCTAAACTACAGTGGGGCCCACACATTAACAAATTGTCTGGAAGGCTCAGTTCAGCTGCTTATGCTGTAAGGAAAATTAGACAAATTACTGATGTGGATACAGCCAGAATTGTTTATTTCAGTTATTTTCATAGCTTGATGACGTACGGCATTCTCCTTTGGGGAAACTGTGCGGATATTAATACAATCTTCTTATTACAAAAAAGAGCTGTCCGCGCTATATATAACTTAGGTCCTAGAGTTTCTCTCCGAGAGAAATTCAAAGAGATAAACATTCTGACTGTAACTTCACAATATATTTTTGAAAATTTACTTTATGTTCACAAAAACGAACCGGATTTTGTCAAATTG